CCACCTACGCAGTGGACATATTAACATGTGCCCATCGTGGGTAGGTGAATATTTCTCTTTATATGAGATTATATATACGATGATATATATTATACATTAATTCGATGTATAATTATTTATATAACTTAAAAATCTCTGTATAGACTTTTTAATTTAGTGTGTCAAACTTTTAAAATGAGAGATAATATTTTTTTTTTAAATATCAAATCCTCCATATATATTATTTTCGAATGCGCTGAGCCTACATGACTGCTTCTGGTGCTTCGGATCCTACTTGGCAAAGAATCATGCTTCGTAATTAAGTTTGGACAAATAATATTGATATATTAATGATTAATAATCTAGGTTCGGACATTCCATAAATATTAAATAGCTAACTTAGGTATTTTAACATCACTTGTACTAATGTAACCCTTTAATTTTTTATAATTTTACATAATGAGACATTAAGTGACTAATATATCTCTGACTTTTGATTTGTTTCCTTCCATTAATTATTCAATTGTAAATGTATTTTAAAAGTTGATAACTTTTGTATTTTTTATCGGTTTTACATATATAATATATCAAATTAATCATTTTTTTATGATCTTCGATTTGACATCCATATTGTATATATGAAATAAATAAATTATACTTATCTTTATAATAAAAAAATAATAATATTTATTAAAATTCATTAAAAAAATAAAATTATTTCTCAATTGATATATTTATGTTCGATGTAGTTATATGGTGTAAGTTAAAAAATTATTATAATATAACACAAGTAAGTCGCACAAATAAAAAAGTGTCATACTAAATATATAATATATATATATATGTTTATAAAAGGATTTAAATTTTTAATTACTTTCTAATTAATTTTAGATTTTAAGAAAAAATTAGCAAGCACCCGTGTAATACACGGGCGTTGTACTAGTTTATTAATTAAAACACATAAATACAACAAGTTAATTAGTCGAAATATACATACTAATATTTTGTGTGTGATCTCAAAAAAATATACATACTAATATTTTGTGTATACACAATGAAAGAATACGTACAAAATCACCTTAAAATTAGTATTAGTATTAAGTTTGTTCAACTGCAGTTAGTATTAGATTTATTCACCTACTTGATATGTTCGTTTAGTCCAACATTTAATTTTTTTAAAAATAACTTAATAGGACCGTATAGTCGAACATTCAATTTTAAAAAGTGACACTGATATGTTTGTTTAGTGTAACATTCAAATTTTATTACTTTGTAATGCATTGCACGATCAATTATATAAATAGATTAAAGAATTTCATTTATTAGGAAAATGCTAAGGTCCCGCTATAGAATTATTCTGTTGGGATTTGTAACTGTTAGATCATCATGTAACCATCCGATAATTGATCATTAGGTTACAAATCTCGACATAATGGTTTCGTAAGGGAACCATAACATCTTCCCATTTATATTAATCAATAGTTAAAAGATGGAATGAAGACAAGAAACAAATTAGTTAAAACCAAAATTATTCCTAATTAATTAAAAATGAGTACATAAATAAATATTAAAAATAAAATACAATAAGTTAACACCAAAGTTACATTTTGTCGGAATAATGAGAAATGATGATGATTTTGAAGTTTTGATTCACATGTTAAGCAGCAGTTACTCCGTCTCATTCATGAGAAATGTTTCGCATAATAACAGTGTAGAAAGTTAAAAAGGGGCAACAAAAAAGTACAGGGTAGTGTCAACTGCAACAGGGAGCGAAAAAAAGGCAAAAATGGAGTGAATAAACGAACGGTCCAAACAGAGGTTTAATCTTATTTGCCAGAAGAAACCCTAGCTGTGTGATTTTGTACCCCCAAAAAAATTCGGGGCTTTAAGAGTTATCCGTTCTTCTTTGTTTGTGTGCTGGGTCGTGTTATCAGATCTGGAAGCAGTTCAAATTTGCTCTCTTTTGCTGTGGGGTTTGAATGTTTGAAGGGTTTTTTTTTCCTTAGCGAGACGAGGGGAGTTGGGGTTGAATTGTGAGGTCAAATTTCGTTACGGTTGTTGAAGTTTTTGATTCTATGGTTTGAAGGGTTTGTCTCTTGTTCAACGAGGGGTTTATCCATTCTGTAATTTATTTTTCGAATTTATGTTTGCTTGGTATTTGGGAAAGCCCTAGTTTGATATAAAAAGGATAGGCCATGTTTTTGTTGTTCTCTATTTGAAATAATTCATGTTGCTTTGATGCAAGAATCGGGTTTTTTCGGGCCCTTAGAATTGTTATTAGATTTTGCTGTTGTCCGAGAAGTGAATGCTGGAGGGTAATTTCATTTAGATGAAAGTAGGAAGCTTTTTTTTTTATTTTTGGTTTGAAATTTGGTTGAATTGAGGAGCTGCCTCTGGCTTACTTTATTCTCTCTCCTCTCTTTAATATTTATTTTGGGCCATTTGTGGAGATTTGCACTGGAGTGGCTCGGGGTAACTGCAGGTGTCACTATGTCGTCCTTGAGTCGAGAACTGGTTTTCTTAATACTGCAGTTCTTGGATGAGGAGAAGTTCAAGGAGACTGTCCACAAGTAAGTTGTTTGAAGTATTATGCCTTAACTTGTGCATTTGTTAATTTCGTGATCTCAGAATTGAGTAATTGCTTCTATATGCGATGAGGAATAGAGTCTTGGTAGAACTATGATTCAAGGTGAAACTGCAAGTGTGTTTCTTTTGATGCGTTATTGGGTGGGGGATTGTTAGAATTGATGTCCTGCTTTGGTTGGACAGCTTGGTTGTTAGCCAAAGTGCAGAAAAGACATCCCTGTATACTTCCTAATTCAACTCATACGCACTGCTTGATTGGACCATAGGCCGATGTATTTCCCGATGACTTGTGAACAAAAGTTACTTGTGGTTTTGTTTGACATTAATTATGTTGTATTTCTACAAACAATTTATATAGGCTGGAGCAAGAATCTGGATTTTTCTTCAACATGAAGTACTTTGAGGATCAAGTCCAAGCTGGTGAATGGGAGGAAGTTGAGCGTTATTTAAGTGGATTCACAAAAGTTGAGGACAACCGTTATTCTATGAAGATTTTCTTTGAGATTAGAAAGCAGAAATATCTCGAAGCTCTTGACAAGTATGAAATACTTTAAAATCATGCTTAGCAGTTTTCACACACACACACACACACACATCTACTCATTTTGATTGCGAACTATGTCCAATTATTTTCAGACAAGATCGTGCTAAAGCTGTTGAGATTCTTGTTAAAGATCTCAAGGTGTTTGCCTCGTTTAATGAAGATCTTTTTAAAGAGATCACCCAACTTTTGACTCTCGACAATTTTAGGTAACAGTTTCATTTATTAGTTACATTGTTGTTCTGAGCCTCTTTTGACTCTAAAGTATTATTGTATATGCTATAGGCAGAATGAGCAGCTCTCGAAATACGGGGACACAAAGTCAGCACGCAACATAATGCTGGTTGAGCTGAAAAAGCTTATAGAAGCAAATCCCTTGTTCCGTGACAAGCTAACCTTGCCGGTTTTTAAGGCTTCTAGGTTAAGAACACTTATTAACCAAAGGTATGACCAGTGATGTTATATATTAAGATTATATACTATAATTTGATTTTTTCGTTACCCTCTCTTCGAATTGTGTTCAAGGTTGCTATGTTCATGTCATATTTTGTTTGGTGGTTTTACAGTCTTAATTGGCAGCATCAGCTTTGCAAGAACCCACGACCAAACCCTGATATAAAAACTCTCTTTACTGACCACTCTTGCGCTTCGAGTAATGGTGCTCGTGCCCCCCCTCCAACTAATAACCCTCTTGGTGGACCTGTTCCTAAACCGGGCGGTTTTCCTCCTCTTGGAGCCCATGGTGTAAGTAGATTTTATTGTGCTTGACTGAAAGCTAAGATAAATTTTGTTTGGAATCTGAGTTTGTTGATTTTTTTTCCTTTTATTCCGGTAGCCTTTCCAGCCAGTTGTTTCACCACCTCCAAGTGCAATCGCGGGTTGGATGTCAACTTCTAACCCGTCCATGCCTCATGCTGCTGTTGCTGCGCCTCCTCCTGGCCTTGTTCACGCTCCTAGTTCTGGTGAGAGCTTTACGTTATCCATGCCGATTTATTTGAGATCAATTATAATTAAAAAGGTTTATTATTTAATGCAAAATGTCTGTTTACCTATTTTTTTCCGCAGCTGCATTTTTAAAACATCCAAGGGCTCCTCCCCCAGTTGGACCCGGAATGGATTATCAGACTGCAGACTCTGAGCATTTGATGAAACGTCTTCGAACTGGACCTGATGAGGTTGTGACTTGTTAGTCTGTTGCAATTTTGTTTTCTTATTTCTCAATGCGGTATAGCTTTTTAGCTGAATATTAAATAATGATCCACTGCATATTGTGATAATTTTGGTTTTGCAGGTGTCATTTTCTGGTTCTTCTCATCCGCCTAGTATGTATTCACCAGATGACCTTCCAAAAACTGTTGTGCGGAACCTTAGCCAAGGATCAAATGTTATGAGCATGGACTTCCATCCTCAACAACAGACGATCCTTCTAGGTTGGTCCTTGATCATTTGGTTTGTTGTGACATTGCAAAGTATTTTTCATTTTTATTATCTTTATCCAATCCTGGTTCTCTGATGATGTTATTCATTATCGCAAGGCAAACCCTAGATTGTCATTTATACAATAGATTGACTAATCTTGTTTTATGTGTGACTGTTTTATACGTTGTAGTTGGAACAAATGTTGGTGATATTAGCATATGGGAAGTGGGAACCCGAGAACGGTTAGCACTTAAGAACTTCAAGGTCTGGGACATATCTTCTTGTTCAACAGCATTTCAGGTAAGTATTAAGTGATACTAATGTTTATGGTTTTAGTTGTAAATTGTAATTATTTTCTGTTCTACATTTCAAGGTTTTGTCTATTATATATTTTTTGAATGTATTAAAACTTCCAGTTTTCTTCTGTTCAGACAATTATGGTTAAAGATGCTACTACATCTGTCAACAGATGCGTGTGGGGCCCGGATGGATCTATACTTGGTAAAACAAATTTGTGATGTTGCTTGCCTGCAGATAATGTTGTTCTTTCTCAATTATATTTTTGGGAGTTGCTAATGTTATCATGCTTTCATTTTGTGGAAGGTGTTGCTTTTTCCAAGCACATTGTTCAGATATATACATATAATGGAGAGTTAAGACAACACTTGGAAGTGAGGATTTTCCAAATCTTGCCCTCCCTTTCTCCCTTTCTCAATATTTCGTGTGAGGAATTCGGAATACTGATTACCTTTTTCTACTCGTAGATTGATGCTCATGTTGGTGGTGTGAACGATATTGCTTTTGCTCATCCCAACAAGCAATTATGCATAGTTACATGTGGGGACGACAAGACTATTAAGGTAGTATTTTTGTTTTCAGTATAGTATTTTTATTTTCGGTTTTCACATGTACTGTTACTTCTCACTTCACAGGTGTGGGATGCTGTTGCTGGCCGCAGGATGTATACTTTTGAGGGTCATGAAGCTCCCGTGTATTCTGTCTGCCCTCATTATAAAGAGAATATTCAGGTCAGTTGATTCCTCCCTTTTTGATCGGTGTCTTGTTGAGTTCTTTATGAAATGAATAGGTTTCATTTGATATATAAAAACGGGAGGTGTTCTGATTCTTGTGAGTATGCAGTTCATTTTCTCTACTGCAATTGATGGGAAAATAAAAGCATGGCTTTATGATTCATTGGGATCTAGAGTTGATTATGATGCCCCTGGACTTTGGTGCACAACAATGGCATATAGTGCTGATGGAACCAGGTACTTTCAATACTGTACAGTTCTTCCCAAGAAAGTATGAACCATACGAACGTGAATACATTTATAATCTGGGCCATTCAACACTGACCGCTCCAGACAGTATTATACAGTATGTTAAAACACGTTGACCAAGAGGATAGAAATTTTCTAAAATTCAACCTTAGAAATGGTAGTGCCTTTAGTATTGAATTGTTGTGCAGGACATGTGGGTCGGTAAATGGTATATTAAGTAATTACTTGTTGACTTACTGATGTTATTGATCCTTGATGCGCAAACTATGATCTTTATCTTTCTCGTCTTATTATGCTTGAATGTCTTGAATCTTCTGTTTAATGTGAAATCAAATGTACTAGGGTGTTTTATGAATGGAATCAACACAAACAAAATGCTTATTTAGTTGGACTATAATGTATCACCCATCCCATGGCAGCCTGATTGTCCTTACAGCATGTTCTCTGATTCTGAAGGTTTTTTAGTTGGGGGCAATATCAGTGCTGTGGATCTGTTCTGTTGGAATCTTAGCGCTATTTTCTTAAACTTACTAGGATCTTGATTAGGTTTTTATTGTCTATGTATTCTTTCAGGCTTTTCTCATGTGGAACAAGCAAGGAGGGCGAATCTCATCTGGTTGAGTGGAATGAAAGTGAAGGAGCCATCAAGAGGACATACTCTGGTTTTCGAAAGCGTTCTTTGGGTGTTGTACAATTCGATACAACTAGGAATCGGTTCTTAGCAGCTGGTGACGAGTTTCAGATCAAATTCTGGGACATGGACAATACAAACATCCTTACTTACACAGACAGCGATGGTGGCCTGCCTGTTAGTGTCTTTTGTACATGAAAGCCAATAAGAATTGTTTTGCTTATATTTTGTTGACAAAAATGGAGAATCATTTTTTTTTTAATTCGTTGATACACGCAGGCAAGTCCCAGATTAAGATTCAACAAGGAAGGTTCATTGCTGGCTGTTACAACTAGCGACAATGGAATTAAGATCCTGGCAAATACTGATGGCCAGCGGATGCTGAGAATGCTGGAGACCAGGGCTTTTGATGGCCCCCGTGGTCTTTCTGAAGCTGTCAATGTCAAAGTAATATATGTTCCCTTCTTTTTATGTTTTATTTTTTTTCTTTTTATATACTTTTGGTTTTTACTTTCTTCTGTGGTTAATATAACTATGACATTTTATTTTTTGGCTACAGCCTGCTATTGGTGGTGCATTAGGTCCCATGACTAATGTTTCTACCTCGGGATCTCCTATTCTTGAACGTAATGATAGGGTGCAGCTGCCGATGTCCCTTCTGGTAATTCTCTTTTAGTATAATTTGAGTTTGTCAATATGTTCAAAATTATGTGCTATTGATCTTCTCATTTCATGTGAACAAATTGTCAGTCTGGCATGGATAGTGGTAGGGTAGCTGATGTTAAACCAAGAGTTCATGAGGCAATCGAAAAACCGAAAATCTGGAGATCGCCGGACATGTCTGATCCTTCTCAACTCAAGACTCTGAAACTGCCCGATCCTCTCACACCTACCAAAGTATGTGTTGTGAATCGATTCTTATTTATCTATTTATTGTTATTGGATAAGATTTTAAGAGGCTAAATTTTTAGAAGTCCAATTCCTGCTGGCACGTTGTATCACTCTAAATCCTGACACATCTTGTAATTATTAATATTTGTGATGGGTCCTTTAAGCTTTTTTTATTTTTGCTGTGTTCTGTATCAAATGCAGGTTGTGAGGTTGCTGTACACAAATTCGGGGCTAGCGGTACTGGCTCTGGCCTCAAATGCTATTCACAAGCTCTGGAAGTGGCAGCGCAACGAACGCAATCCGTCCGGAAAGGTCAGAGCTAGTGTTGTTATTTTTTTATTTTTTGTTATTATTAGTAGGGGTTACAAAAATCCCATTAATCTACGAAATTACTAAACGGTGTTTGCAACCTAGAAATATACCTATTTGGTATGCATTTCGTTACTAGAAGCAACTGTGAGTCTGTGATGCTTGAATTTTGGGAGATTAAGGCTGAGACTGGAAATGCTTTCACCAGTTCTTTTTTTTTTTTCAATTTTTTGTTTTTTTCTTACACTGGTAATTTATGTTAAAGTTCGTTGGAAGGGAAAAGTGGAAAATTTTAATTGTGAAGGATATAAGAGAGAAATTGATTTGAAGATGTGGAACAAAAATAGTGAAATAAGGATTAAAAATCATTGGTGGTTAGAAATATGTAAGTGGTTGGTGAATACTTAATTTGTAGGGAAACATGTAGTGACAGCCGTTTTTTGTTTTAAAATATTTGTTGATTAAATTGAGGAAATAAAAGTGAATGATTTAATACTTCATTTTCTAAAAATATATGTATTCAATCACAACATGGGGATTTTTTCCTGAGCAAAATGAAAATGATAAGTTCTCATTTCCATCTGTGTCAAACTGTTCCCTTTTTTCCCTTTTATTATTATTTTTTTGTTATGTAATTTCTCTTCTCATTGTTTCATGATAATTTTTTATTAACTTAATATAAATGATTTGGTGCTTTCTTTCAGTCTTCTGCATCTTGTCTGCCACAATTATGGCAGCCTGCTAATGGGGCTCTCATGTCTAATGACGTGAATGATGGGAAACAAGCTGAAGACTCTGTTGCGTGCATTGCTTTGTCGAAAAATGATTCGTATGTCATGTCTGCTTCGGGAGGGAAGGTTTCCTTGTTCAACATGATGACTTTTAAGGTTTGTGTCTTCATCATTATTTTTTTTTTCGGGAAACCATCTCATTATTACGACATTTTTGCATTTTTTCTATCTAAACTTGATATTATTGTATTGCTTGTGGTCAGGTCATGACAACTTTCATGCCACCACCTCCTGCAGCAACTTATCTGGCATTTCATCCTCAGGATAACAATATAATTGCTATTGGAATGGAAGATTCTACAATACAGATTTACAATGTCAGGGTTGATGAGGTAAAATCTTTTCTAGCGTAGATTGTGAACAATGGGGAGACACTCCCTCGTATAAAAAACTATAAAGCTGCTTAGTTCTTGCAATTTCCTCATCAGTAGGGAATATAATATCTATATACTTGCCTGCTAATATTGGATCAACTTTTGTATTTGCTAATCTACTGTGGGAAGACTATCAATGCACTTGGCCATGTAGGATTTTTAGGAGCGAAAGGCTTGTGAGATGTCGCAAAGTTCTTGACAAAGATTCTATGTTATACTGAGTTTTGATAGGTTTTACAGCTTTTCTTATTCTGATAATTTTATTTCTTTTCTTATTTGGTTCGTCATGATCTTAACCCAGTTAGTTAAGTCTAGTGACTTGAAACCAAGGAGATAGCTTTCCTGTACATTGGGTGAGGTAATAAAAATTTGCTGTCTAATGTTTGGGTACATCCAAAAAGCATCTGTCGAGGCGGAGAAAGTACTAAGACTTCAAATGTTGGGTTTGACCAATTACTCCTGTAACTTTCCTGCCGTAAAACCTTCTTTTTTTATGTGGAAGTTATTTTTTCACTTTGTCAAACTGTTTTTTTTCCATCCAACTTACTTCTGTAAAGTACTAGAGTCAAGACAGTTTTTTTCCTTAACTAATGCATTTGGTGAACTGAAATTGTCCATGTAGGTTAAAACCAAGCTCAAGGGTCACCAGAAGCGAATCTCGGGGCTTGCATTTTCACAGAGCTTGAACATATTGGTTTCCTCTGGAGCTGATGCACAGGCAAGTATAATCTAATATAAGATTCTGGGTCAATATTTTTGAATAATTTGCATATATTATTGTATATGATTTCTTCTTCTCAATGTTTGACGGCAGTTGTGTGTTTGGAGTATTGATGGATGGGAGAAGAAGAAATCACGGCTCATACAGGCCCCGCCGGGTCAACCCGCTCCCTTGGTTGGGGAAACTAAAGTTCAGTTCCATAACAATCAAGCGCATCTTCTTGTTGTTCATGAAAGCCAAATTGCTATATATGACTCCCAACTTGAATGCCTGAGATCGGTAAGTTCGCCTTCATTTCAGTTCAAAAGTATTTATCGAATACTTTCTTGCACATCGAGATTTTTTCTTAATATAGAAAATTTGGTGTTATCTTGTTATTTTCTACCTTTGGGTGTGCTTGTCTATAAATATAATAATATTTTTGATATTTGACTTGTTTTTTTGGTTAACTAGGGTTAATTTTGAAAAAGTTAGTATATGGTTAGTTGTTAGTGGGATTTTAAATTTGTATTAAAATAATATTCAAAGTAAAATAATTAGAATTGATTTGATGTAAACGTAGGAGATAGATGATTAGAAGTGATAGGTAGTTAAAATTATGTGAGTGGATGAATAGTGAATGAAAGTTGATGTGATGTGCAAGGGTGATTGATTGGTATTATTTAAATATATTGATAATGTTGAGGATAGTTGAGTTTAGTTAAAGTTGAGTTAGAGATTGGAATTTTTTTGAGTAAATTAGTAAACAAGCAAGCTCTTTATGTTTAACCATTATGCAGTGGTATCCGAGAGACTCCCTTTCTTCGCCAATTTCAAGTGCGATATATTCGTGTGATGGACAGCTGATTTTTACTGGATTTTGTGATGGTGCTGTTGGAATATTCGATTCCGATAGTTTGAACCTTCGATGTCGGATAGCACTGTCTGCTTATTTCTCCTCATCCATTTCCAGGTAAGCAAAAGCTATTAGACGCACAATGTTTGTTTTTTATCTACGAAAAAATGTTGATTTTTT